CAAATCTAAACCTAAGTCAGCTTGCATTTATGGGCAATGGATCGCTGCCAAGGAAACATAGAAGCAATCACAATCCTCCAATTCAGCTTTCACTGGCTTACCCTATCCTAGAAAGCAGGACCCCTGAGCCTCACCAATCACTGACCTCCTCACCAATCACTCCGTTTCCATGTTGCCTTTTCTAACTTCTATAAAACATGCTCTTGTCCAAACTCCCTGGGGAAGAGTGCCCCACTGCTTGTGAGGCACTGACTTCCCCCAATGCATGGAATGCCTTCCCTTGAATAAAGAACATCAAACTGGTTACTAAACTGTATTACTTTTGCTATTTGACACCACTATAGGGAAGACATCAACAACAATTAGTTAATGACGGTTGTCGGTTAAAATGCAAAGGTATGTTAGGCTTATTCACTGCAGGAGAAAACTTTAAATACCTCACAATCTATAGCTCATATATTAAAGAAATTTTAAAGATGTTTTTCCAAATTTGACAATCCTAAACTTTACATGACATGAACATAAAGAGTCCTTAATAACAGTGGAATGGAAAGGAGCAGGGTTTGTAAATGATTATCAGATTTTGGCTCAAGGTAAATCAGTTAACTGACATTAGGAATCTATAGGAAGCCAGGGTGATAAGTTAGTCTTGTTTTGCTCAAGTTGAGTTTCAGATACAAAGGGGACATGGGTAGAGAATTTGGGGTTATAAACATAAATCTGCAAGTTACCAAAATATATAGAAGTGGGAGTAGATGAGATAATCCTGGGATACAGGAATGATGGATTAGGACACAGGGAAAAGAGTAACAGGAAGAAAGGGGAAGGGTAGGCTTTAAAAATGATAAGAACTGGTCAAAAAGGCGAGAGGAAAATTATAGGAGCCTGGTGTCCCTGAAACCATGGGAAAAGTGAGCATTACGGAAGTGGTCAATGGTGCCAGATACTTCAGAGTTCAAATTGTAAGAACTGAAAAGGCCCTAGCTGGTTTGGTTCAGTAGCTAGAGTGTCAGCCTGAGGACTGAAGGGTCCAGAGTTCAATTCCAGTCAAGGGTACATGCCCGAGTTGTGGGCTAGATCCCCAGTAGGGGGCATGCAGGAGGCAGCCGATTAATGATTCTCTCTCATCATTGATGTTTCCATCTCTCTCTTCCTCTCCCTTCCTCTCTGAAATCAGTAATATATATATATCTGAAAAGTATCATTGCGTTGGTGACTTAGTCAGCTATGACCCCATGAGAACAGCTGCAGTTGAATGGCAAGGCTGGAAGCTAATTATGGTGCATTGCAAAGTAAATGACTTCTATACTTCACATGATAGTTAGCCTGCCACCTAGAAAACTAATCTGCAAAACACAAATTTTCAGGAAAAAGTTTTCTACTAATTCATTTAGCTGAGTCCTGCAGCTTCTAGAAGAGCAGTCCAGGGGTAGAGGCCAGATTCATTTGCATCACACTGGCCAGGCCAGAGCCTCCACTCTCCCTCTCCTCCTCTTCCAAACCCCACAATTTCTTTCAGCAAGTAAAATGCAAGAATTTCTTTCTCCTCCCATTGCCCCTCTAACTATACAACCTAGTCAAGTGCAAATAAAAACCCAAAGTCCACAGGGGTGGTGCAAATAGAGAGGGGAGAAACAGGTGGGTGGTGGGGTGAATAACAGGCAGGTGAAGGCATCTGAAAAAAGGAAGCTGTTATGATTACCGATATAAGCATATTGGGGAAGAGGGGTAAATCCAGTGTTTTTAAGTTTGAGACTGTCTAATTCTATAAACAGAATTAATCAGATACCTAATTTAACCTTACTTGACAAAATATAACTGTCATGAAGCCTGATATCAAAGGAAACAATGAAAAGCATTCCTAAATTCACTGCACTGAGTTTCAGGTACATAAAATTTAAAAGTGAAACTTATTTTGTGGAGGAGGAATTGTTCAATTTCTAACACTTTCTAATACTTCCGTCTAACAGAGTAAAGTACAACTTTCCCAATAAGAGATGAATTTCAGGCAGAGCATGAAATATTCAAGGTGGACCATGACACTACTAATAAATATAATCATCAAATCAGACTGCTTTAAAAAATATCTAGTGTTGCCCAAGCCGGTTTGGCTTAGTGGCTAGAACGTCGGCCTGCGGACTGAAGGGTCCCAGGTTCGATTCCGGTCACGGACACATGCCTGGGTTGCGGATTCGATTCCCAGAAGGTGACGTGCAAGAGGCAGCCAAGCAATGATTCTCTCATCATTGATGTTTCTATCCCTCTCTCCCTCTCCCTCTCTGAAATCAATAAAAATATATTAAAAAATATATATCTAGTGTTAGCACTTTTAAAAAAGTTTGTATTCATTTTAATAGCACTAAGTTATCTATGTGTTCCTACTGAATAAATCATGAAGAAACTATGATGGGCAGGTAAGAAGGAAATCATTTCACCTGACATTTTCTAGTGATACCAAAGTGTGGGCAAAAATGACATTTTATATGACATTAATATTAAGTTATCCCCTTGGTTCACTGATGCTCAGTTGTTGCAAAAATTAATTATATCACTAAAAGGAAAAGGTAAACACCATCAAACTCTTAGAAAGCATTGTCTTAATTTCAAAATGCTGTTTGTCATTACTCCCAAGGTGCCAATGGGTATTTTTATCATTGCTGGGTTTTGTTTTTTAATTAACTGGTTAGAAAAACAGACTTTACACACAATACAATATACAGATAATGTATTACAGAATTGTGCCCCTGAAATCTATATAATTTTATTAACCAATGTCACCCTAATAAATTCAATAAAAAATAATAATGAAAATAAAAACAGACTTTAAGTCCTTAATAACAAACACTGGCCTGTTTTGTGCACACTAAAGAGTGTCTTAATGCCAATAGCTAACAGAAAAAGAATTATTGCTTAGAGAAGTCCCTTTGGACTCTGGAACCTCTGGGTTTATGTATAGTAAAATACCACTCTGGTAGTAATTTCTTCATGTAGAAGTATTTTTCACGGTATTTTAAGGCACTTAATTAACTCTCTCATGTGTTTCTCACAAATAAGAAGTTGGAGAGGTAGGCCATTATTACCACCCATGTGTAATAATTTCCATAAACTAAAATTTCTTAGAGCACCAGGGCCAACCTCTCACTGCCATTTGGAACAAAGGCATCCTAGGTCACCATGCACGCGGGAATGTGGCAGAAGTCTATGATGTAAGCTAGTGAGGCTCTTCACAACAGATACACTCCGGTTTGGTTAACATGTGACTAAATCAGTGAACAGACCCAACTCAATATAATATATAATCACCTTATAGGGTATAAAACTTTCCACTTCTCACAGCTCTCCTAACAACCTACACTGTCCTACATTCAGTACCTTCGAGGAAAGTGCAAAGAGACCATAGAAAGCATGCATGTGGTTGCCTGATTAGTTAGCAGCAGAATGGACAATAGAGCCCAGGGCTCTACTTCCCCAGTTCCAAATCATTATTGTTCAGATAAAAGATAACACAGTATCTAAGAATTACCCAAAAACCCAACAATAAAATCTGTGTATCTGAGAAGAGAGAGCTAGATCAGTTTCTAAATTGTTTTCTTCAGGGTACTAAATAAAAGTATGCCTGGAGAGCCCTGAACTAGCAAAAGGAATGACAGATCTTTAACCACATAGTCATGTGGGCATAGAAAGTATAATGCTTTTAAGGAAAAACAAAACAATAAAGCATCAGTGTTAATGCAGAGCCTACAATAATAATAAAGGTCTAAAAATCTTGAATAAGATTTTTGCAAGGTTATTAACCATGACAAATCATTAGAAAAATCCATGTGGTCAAACTAATTTAATTTAAACAAAGTGTTGAGCCAAAATGGCAACTTCAAGAAAGATAAGCCTCAAAGCTTAAAAAATAAACATGGTTGACCTTTAGAATAAATATTTGCTTTGAATTCTACGATAAAGGGTAGCACCTCATTAGATGAATAGCCTTCACACTGTTTTCAGGAATACAGCTTTCATGAAATCCAATGCTCTGTAACTCAACACATTAAATGTAAAGTGCAATGTTTCACAACACCACGAGTATGAAATGGCACAGACTTCAGTTATTTTATCTGCACAATCCTTAGCAATCAAAAACTAAGTTATTGTAATTTATTAAAATTTGACCTATAGCTCTCTCCCTCATCACAACCACTAAATGGTTCTTAGTACCTAGTTTTCATCAGTTTTCCCTATGATATCAACTTTCTAAGATACAAAGAATATAATCTCATTGCTAATAACAGTAGCCACTATTTATTGAGTGCCTCCCATGTGTCACAACCTGTGCCACTAGTTTTAGTTGTATTATCTCATTAAAAACAAACTCACAGAGAAGTGACCAAGTGGGCCACCCAGTTAGAAAGCAGCAGAATCTGAATTTGAACTCAAGTTCATCAAAGATATTTCTACTCACTATTGTTGCTAACTTAAACAAGCATTACTTTCAAGGCCTTGAAGCACCAGAATTAACCTAAAGAATACCAAGCATTGAGCTAAGAGAACTCAAGATTATTCAGCAGTGTTTTGCATTCTCTTTCTATCTGCTTTTCATAGACGTTCACAAGTATGAGAGAGCAACTCCTAGTAGAGGTAGGAAAAAAATACCTGCACCTTTATTTAGAAATTATATAAAGTGATTCTTAACCCTGTTAGGAATCAGGTAAAAGCTACAGACCTTCTTCCCAGAGTGTCACATAAAATTTTGCATTATTTTGGAAGGTTCAGAGTCCTAAAGCCTATCTATACATTTCAATTTTAAAATTTGCATTTGATTGAACTAAGAATCAATAGAATAAAGTTAAGAAAGTGCAAAATGACACAAATAGAGTTCTTTGGAAATTGTTTTAAATGTCAGCACAACTCTGCTCATGTAAGTGATACTAGTTTTAATGCTTCTGATAATCTATGGCAAAAACCTTACAAAAGGAAAGGGAGAAGGTTTAGATGCCACCATTGATACTTACCGTTTTCCTGTGCAATTTTTTTCATTCAGGCCGCCAACCTTGTTTATGGCAGACCAGGCTGTGAGAGCCACATATGGCAAAGAGGCAGCTTGAGTATGAGTGAGTGATTTGGGCTTGTGAGAGACCTACATTTGAAGATAACAGTAAAAAATAAGCAATGACTTACTAACCTATGAATGCAATTAAATACATTTACCTTCACAGGAATCCACCATTCTCATAGATAAGTCTATAATATTCTGCCAGGTTCAGTATTTATTACATACCCTACTTTAAGATTATCCCTAAGGAATATTCTCCAAATGACTCAACCTGCCCTCCTGGGGTCAGAGGCTCAGTAATGTTTTACAGGCTACATTATCAGATATATCTGCTTAATTCATAAAAAAGGCCACATTCAATAATCCCACTAGTCCTGACTAACACAGAAATAAATCCAAATAAACCTTGAGCCCTCATAAACACATTGTAATTTGCTTTTTTTAGATCAGTTGTTTCCTTTACTCCCATTTACTAGAAGGTAATCTTTCCAGACTTTTTCTAATCTTAGTAATATCCCTTCTTCCCTCCATACCCTCCCTTCTGTAGCCAAGTTCCGCAATGTTAACCCCTTTCTCTCTATTCAAATTGTCAGACTTCCTGACTGTATTTGATTAGACTCCTATTTTTAAGGTTACTTGAAACAATTTGATACTTCCATGCTTCTGTTTATAATTAACCAGTACACTCCATTTGGTATATTTGGTTTCCACTACTTACACTGGGTAAAACCAAGAAACACAGCAGGGTTTCTAGATCTCACTCCAAGTCCCAGCTCCACAAGACAAAGATACCACTTTGGCAGGCAGTGTTATTAAATGACATCAAATACTTTTCTAATCTTTCAAAAATTCCTATTCTCTATCTTAGCTCTTTTAAACCTACCCATTAAACATGAACCTGATCTGAAAAAAAAACCCACAATTATTTCAGAGATATGTGTCAGTCTTGTTTGTACTTTCTAATGGCATTTCAGCACAGAATTGGTGAATTACCTCATTTCCACTGACTACAACAAACTCTGAGAGAGTGCCTTGTTTCCAGGGAGGAACTGCAGCCCAGACCTGAAACACACACACAACTTCTTTAGAAACAAATCTTTTTTTACCAAAGCTAAGCATGAGGGTAGTCCCCAATACATACTCCACCCAATGAAAAAAGCACAAGTCAGCAATACAACAACCAAAAGTTATTTTTACATGATATAAATGTATTATTTAGTAAGCTTCTGCACTTATCAAGTCAAGCCACACTGGAAGCAGATGCCAGTAAATCCCGCTGTATTTACTGACTACATACTTTAAAATACCACCAAGAGCACAGTCTCTGGGGCATGAATCCTGGCTCTACCACTTACCAGCTGTGGAACTTCTGTGTAGCTGTATAGCTTGGTTTCCTCATCTGTAAAGTGGGCCTAACTGTACTTACGACATAGAGATTAAAGAATTATTTTATGAAAAGCAACAAGATCAGTGTTAGCTATAATTATGAACTCACTTTAATTTCTTGGTGTAAAAATTCAAAGTGACAAGTGACAGGTGATTATACCAAACTTCAGCTATTTTAAAACTAACTAGCCTATGAGGTAGAAATTGTCACTTAAAGATTCTTTCAATAAAAAGAAAAACAGTCCCAATCACACATCAAGTCCTGCAATCTTTAAGCACTAGATTTAGAACACTTGAGCGCAGTCAAGCTATTCTGCCAGAACCAAGAATAACAGAGATAAGAAAATAAGGGTTCCGGCCAAAGCTCAGTATATTTGTTGGAAAGAAGAGGAAAGGTCACTGATATGGAATATACTTCCAAAAGCAGCAGAATGAAATTTGCATATTTAGAAAGGGAATAGCAAGATTCTATAACTCACCTCATCTCCAGGCTTGAAGTACCTCACATCAAGTCCACATTCCATCACCACACCAGAGACATCCCGACCCAGAGTCAGGGGGAATTCTTCTCCTTTGATTTTAATATGTAAAGGGTCACGTTTCATATTTAAAGCTGCAGCTCCATAACCACCTATAAAATACAGTTTTATCTGTTTCTTCCAAAAGAATGTAATGATTTAAAAACTATTACGGGGTATACGCCAGGTACAATTCTAGATACTCTGGATGTAGATTATAAATTAATAAAATTTATAATTTTATTTTTTGCCACCACACAAAAAATCTTAAAAACAATGAGTGCCAAAGGGGGGTGGGAGGCAGAAATGGATAAAGGGGGGATAAAGGAATGAGATTCCTGGAGAGACCAAGATGGCGGCATAGGTAAACACCGGAGACTGCTGCCGCAAACAACCACTTCAAAAATACAACGCTGGGTCCAATGGCAGAGTGCAGGCTTCTCCCTGAAGTGCAGTTTGCATGAGAGGCCCCTTTGTAAAAATGGCTGCTAGGCTCTGTTGTTTTTAAAAATTTGAGACCAGTTAGCCACCATGAGCCCTTCTTAGTACGTGTCTTCTTAGGGTTCACACAGGTTAACCTGCCACAGTTTAATTGGATGCTAGTAGGAGCTATGAGATAAAGAACAATACACTATATAGCAATAGCAGTAGCCACAGAATCAGCCCCAATTTGCACAGTTGTGTGGAAGAGTGACACCTATACATGAAATGAGTGGGTTGTATCATAGGAGAGGAATACTAGGGTTGGGGAAACTTAAATCATTATAATGGGTAGTAAGCATGCCTCCCATTTTCTCTGAGGGAGTTGCCTTATTATACCAGGTTTATTATTTTTTGTATCTTATTTAGAGCACTGAGAGGTAAGCCTTTTGCATTCTCTAGTAGATAGTATGAAGTAGCAAATGTGTAGATATTTTTATGATGGTAAACAATATGAAAGCTAAAGAACATCTTAAGCTGTGTTGTACTTTATTGTTAAACTAGGGGCCCAGTGCACAAATTTGTGCACCTTGAAAGGAACTGTGGACCATGAGGCTGTGGTGGGCATAGGGGTGGGTCTTGGCCCATCCTCAGCACCCCTGCCCGGCCCCTCCCACTCTGGCCCTAGGTCCCCTGTCTACCGGCAGCCCGGCTCCCACTGCCGCCACTCCCACACCCTGACGGCGGCCCTGGTCGCATCCGCTGATGGTGTGGAACGATTGGGGCCAGCACCAGCAGCGGGTGTGAGTGGGGCTGGTGCTGTCAGCATGTGTAAGCTGCTGCTGCTGCCCCGATCGCCCCTCAGGAGCAGGGGGAGGTGGCGAATCCCTGAGGGGTGATCGGGGCTGGCAACCACCACTTGCACCTGCTGACAGTGCCGAGCAATTGGGGTGGTGCCAGGTGCCGGCAGTAGGTCCGAGCAGGGGCCGGTCCCAGCAGCAGATGTGAGCGCCCAGCGGGACTGTGGCGTGTGGGAGCAAAGAACTTGCAGTAACCACCAGAGGCTTGCCCTGATGACAGTGACCGGTGCCCCGCCTTGGTCTGGCACCCCTGCTCACCTGTTCCACCATCCCGCCGCAGCCAATGCCGGTCATGTTCCGCACGCACCCCCTGGTGGTCAGTGCATGTTATACTGACCAGTAGTTCAGTTGTTCTGCTGTTCGGTCTATTTGCATATTAGGGTTTTACATATGTAGATTCTAAATTAACTTTTGAGAAGAAAATGCCTTACTCTGTGCCTTGTATTGCTAGGGATAATTAAAAAGTTGATGCTCACAGATGAAGGAAGCACTGTCACACACATGGTATGTGGCTAAGAATGCCATTGTTCCCCGCCGCGCGTCGGGACCGGGGTCCGGTGCGGAGAGCCCTTCGTCCTGGGAGACGGGGTGCGGCCGGAAAGGGGGCCGCCCCCACGCCCTTCACGCAACGCACGTTCGTGGGGAACCTGGCGCTAAACCATTCGTAGACGACCTGCTTCTGGGTCGGGGTTTCGTACGTAGCAGAGCAGCTCCCTCGCCGCGATCTATTGAAAGTCAGCCCTGGACACAAGGGTTTGAAAAAAAAAATAAAATAAAAATAAAGGGGGGATAAATGGTGATGGAGGGAGACTTGACTTGGGGTGGTGAACACAATACAATATACAGATATTATTTTACAGAACTGAACACCTGAAACCTATGTAATTTTATTAACCAATGTCACCCCAATAAATTCAATAAAAAAGAAACATGAAAGAATCTTGGGGTGGTGAACACAATACAATATACAGATGATATTTTACAGAACTGAACACCTGAAACCTATGTAATTTTATTAACCAATGTCACCCCAATAAATTCAATAAAAAAGAAACAAAATGAAAGAATGAGTGCTATTCCTTTCAAAGAAAATTACTTGGAAAGTTATAATCACTTGTTAAACCAAAGCTACCATTGCTCAAAATGTTTAAAATTCAATTTTGAAACTGCCTTCAGTACTTTCAGTATTTTCTCTTATAGTTTTAGTTTGTTCTTTGAAGACAGTTTCTTTAATGTATTCATTCATAAGCTTTTTAAACAACAAAGTTGTTTGGAGCCCAGTCTGGTGAAGAAGAGAAACCCTAAAGCTGTTTGAAGTTAATAAACCAATAAAAAAGGCATAGTTATATTTGACACTGACATTGGTCTATAAGTAATGGCCCCCACCTCCCAAAAAGTGTTTGCAGAACATCTATGGATTAAGCCCATCGATTGACTCTCCAGTGAAAAAGAACCACTCATCTGCACCTGTTCTAATACATTAAATCAAGTTAATTGCTGTATTATACATATCCATTTATTTTTAAGAACATTTACATAAATATCAGCTAAATAGAGCTGAAAACATTCTGATCATATTTTTTGGTTCAAATAAGTTGGCTACTCTATCTACAATAATCCGAATATATAAAATGGGCGAGCTGGCGTGCCTCAGAGGTTGAGCATCAACCTATGAACCAGGAGGTCATGGTTCAATTCCTGGTCAGGGCACATCTGGGTTGCGGGTTCGATCCCTAGTAGGGGATGTGAAGGAGGCAGCCTATTAATGATTCTCCCTCATCATTAATGTTTCTCTCTCTCTCTCTCTCTCTCTCTCCCTTCCTCTCTGAAATCAATTTAAAAAAATAATAAATGTACAATTATAAATTATATATATATATATATATATATATATTTCCAAGACACAAAAGTATCTGTAATTGTCTCTCTACTTGACATCTTTTTGAAAACATGTTGTGAAGTTCTCTAAGATAAGCACTCTGCTTACCTTTCTAGTGTCATGTACCACAATTTAAATTCCAGAATCACTAAACCAGTCTATAAGTCTCCTTTCCCTGACCCATTCTCAGGGGTAGTACATTAGATGACCTTGATAGGAGCAGTTGCTGTGGCGTGGAGATACAGAGAATGGGAAGTAGGAGACAGTGGAGAGGTGCAACTGAAATGGAGAGAGGATTTTTCAATGTGTTTCTCCCCCTCACCCACACCCCCCTTTTAAGATGGGAGAAGTAGCAGTCTGTATGCTAATGGGAATGACCCAGTAGAAAAGAAAAGATTGAAGATGCAGGAGAGAATTGCTAAAACAATCCCCCCACCACCACCACCACCTCCCCCGCCCCAGGAGCGGAGAGATGGAATCTAGAACCTAAGTGGAGGGCTGGCCTTACAACAATGACAATTAACCTATAAAGCAAGAGGGGATGTAGGAGATATAGGGAGAGGTGCTAACAGGTGTGTAGTTTGCAGAGCTGTTTTTCTAATTAAAGACATATGGGAGAAAGTGTTTGAAACTTGGGATAGTCCCAGAAAATCTAAGCCATCATGCTGGTATTACACATTTGTCATCTAGCTAGTTAGGTGTGCACTCTATCAGGAAAAGAAAGAAAAAAAAATCTTCACATGTAATACAAAAGCCATGTTTTACTTTTCCTGTCTTACACTTCCACCATTAAAACACATTTAAACAATTATTTACTGAAATTCCTATGTGGTTTGAGCAACAGAAGTAGGCATTTAGCCATATCAAATATTAGCTGCTGTTTGAGAGTTGCAAAAGGCTTCAGTCCTCTCTGAGGTACAGACCTGCAGGGCAGTTATTTCGTTTTCTTGGTCACCGTGATATGCCAATGTATCAACTGAATAGCCCCGGCTCACAGGTATTAACTAAACTAGTCCCAAATCCAAAATGTAGCTGGTAGGTAGTAACTGAGAACCTGTTTGATGACAAAGGGGGGCCCTTAGGAGCTTCATCCCATTGTTAGAGGTGGCCAGTTGATTGGGTCAGAGTTAGAATAATTTGGAAAATCATAAATCTGTCATCAGTTTCAAAGCTTTAATTCCACCTAAAGAAACCAAACTGTTGGTATGATGTTGTTGGCTGTATTTTTTATTTTAAAATTATTCTATGTTCACTGCAACATTCCTAGTAATGGCCAAGATATGGAAGCAACCTAGCTGTCCATCAACAGATGAACAGATAATGAAGATGTGAGATATACAGTATATACACAATGAAATATTATCCAGCAGGAAAAAAAGAATGAAATCTTGCCATTTGCGACAACATGGATGGGCTGAGGGTATTAGGCTACGTGAAATAATTCAGACAGAGAAAGGCAAATACTGTATGATTTCACTTAGATGTGGAATCTAAAAAAACAAATGAATAAACAAAACGGGAAAGGACCCAGAGATTTGGAGAACAAGTTGATGGTTACCAAATGGGTGGGGGATGGGAATAAAGTATTTTTAAATGAAATAAATTTATTTAGCCATTTATATAAGTTATGATTTATGTCCAACAATAATGGCCATCTCTAGAAAAACAGTCTACTTTCATCTTTCAAAAGAAAATAGCATGTCCTTGCTTTCTTGTCAAGGAAAACTGCTTCCTATAGTTTACAAGCTTCTAGTTGTTATTATTTCCCCAAGCTACCATTTCAGATACCTCCTGCAACAACAACTGCACATTCTCAAAAAAGAATCCATGAGCAGGACATAAAGAGAGTAACTTGCAAATAATATTGTCCAATCAAATCATAAACTAAGATGTCTTAAGAATACTATATAAAAGTAAAATGTTACAATATTTTGTTATTAAATAGCAGCAAAGAAAGTCCAGATCCAGCCATTCTACTGAAATTGAAATGTACACAATACAAATTATGCAGGTGCATTCAAAGAAATGAAAGTTAGCAGTTCTAAATGAAGACAAATGTAAATAATGCTCATGGATAAAATACTGCTAATTTTAGTTTGCAATCTTAAGTTAGAGTGAAAATGTAAAATGCCATAAAAATAATGACTGCATGACAACCACATATGTGAAGTACTGTACTGAAACAGTTAGTTGTTAACAGAGTATACAACCTACCTTCACAATTTATACTCATTGATCATTGGGTATAAACACTTATCATTGGATGTAAAACAACCACTTAAAGACATATCCTATAAAAACTAAATTATCTTCACATCCAGTGCAAATGGAATAAAACAATATGCCCACGTAGTGGTAGCAATTATTATGTCAAAGTGAACAACAAAAACACAGTAATTCCTGACTTAAAATCATGGATACATTGCGACAGACTGAATACAGAAATACATATGAAGATCCAGTTATCTTATTCTAATTTTTAACAAGGGAGATATATTCATAGCTATAATTCACATAAACAAAAGCCAAATCATTATTATGCATGTAAAGAGATCTTAAGAACACAAAAATTGAGAGTTGCTATTCTACTCTATCACACAACTCCTAGAAACAAAGAGGAAGGAATTAAAGAAGTCAAAGTTTCAACTTCTTTCATATTTCTCTCTAAATTCCACAAAATGATTCACTCTAAATTAATCTTAATTTTGTTATTAGATATATACATATATAAAGAAATTTAATTCATCATGCATAGTTCACATACATGATGGGGCAAAAGTAGGTTTAAGTTGTTTGTATAGAAAATAACACAATAATTAATAAGTAATACAAGAATAAACTGTATTTCACATACAACTGTAAACCTACTTTGGCCCCACCCTGCACAAGTGTTATTGAGGCAATCCGATGAGTAGAACTGTAGGTCTACATATAGGCCTTCAAAACACAGACACGTGATAAAATTATACTCATATGGAAGCTTGTTTAGAACACTGAGGTTAACTGACCAATCAATCATCCCAGATGGTTTTTTTTTTTACTTTTTCAGAAGACATGAATAAGTTCCCATAAGCAATATTTTTGTCACTACTCTCCAAAGTTATTCACAAATAGTAATCAATTTTTTCAGCACTATAATTACATGGTATATATTTAAGGAATCATAGTGCTCTTCAATCTTTGTCAGTATATCCCAGAAGAAATTAAGATACAGTAACATTGTTCCCACTTAGGATAACAGAAAAGTGTATTTTAACTGCTGAGGCCAAATCCATCAGCAGAAAGGAGGAAAGTACTGTGTCCATATCCTGGCAAGGATGGAATTTCTGAAGAAATAAGAAAACTGTGAACGGTGAGAGAGGAAATAAGTATTACAAAAATGCAAATTCTGAACTGATGTGAAAACAGACAACCGTACCTCTGAAACCTGTGATAGACCTCAGAATATCACAAAATCCCCAGGAGAGGATACCAGAAAGCTAGCTGCGGACACAACTCTCGAGTCCCAATTTACATTTTAAGGAAGCCTGGAAGCAATTCGAACTTACATTTTGCAAAAGATTAAAGTACACCATGGGCATTGCAATTTCAAACATCTTGGAACTATCTGCTGACATACTGTCAAGAACCTAAACAATTCCTTTGTGTTAGCCAAAGAAGTATACTAAAATAACGATTGATCTTTTAAAATTACTGATCCCTGATGTTCTCTTAAGAAAAAGAAAAACAAAAAAATGTAATAACGAGGAATGTCTTCCAAACTTACTTCTCATATTAACATCTATGGGATTTACACTCGTAGCGTGCACTTTGATAATGACTTCGTTCGGATAGTGTATGATGGGCATCCTCATGTTCTGAGTAAATCGAAGCACTTCATTCTTCCCATATTTGTCTATCACCCACGCGGGCATGACAGTGCTCCTCGGAGAGGTAGTACCGATCTTTCTAACGGAAAGCTTTTGTATAACTTGGCTTCTCCAGAAGCAAACCGTGGCACATGCCTTTCTCCTAAGCACACAAGTCTTCAGAAATTCCATCGCAAACACGTGGTTGAGTGGCGTGCCCTAATTAAAATGCACGGGGATGGGATTAACCTGTCACCCCTGAAACAGGCCAAGCGCACTGTCCGATCTCAACACGGAGGATTCAGAAATGAAGTTAGGCCTAATGGAGCAACTGAAGGGAGAAGAATACGGAATTAGATGGCTCTTCGCTTAGGAAATGCTCCAATGAACGTTCCAGTCAGTATTCTGTCCATTCTCTTCCCCGCTCACACCCCCTCCCCTTAAAAACAGACCAAAGTCAAAACCCTAAGAACTCTGCCCCGTCTCGGGAGCGCTCGGCGGGACCCACGGACTCCGCTCGCGAACCCGACGCCACAGAGAAACAGACGCTTCCAGATTCCCACCGCGACCCCAGCCCGGAGTCTCCTTTCCAGCTGTTCTCCGCCGCCGCGGGACGTGCCTTGCGGCGCCAACCAATCGCGTACAGAGATCATTTCCTCGGCTGCAATCCGACCAATGGGAGGACTCGGTGTTGAAAGGTCCAGTGACGAGCCAAGATGGCTGCGCCCATGTACTCCCCGTAGCAGTTGTTGACCTTTGTTTTTCCTCCCTGTCACCTGGCCCCTGTGGTGGCAGGCTGGGCACGAAGACTATGCTGGGCCGGACCCTCCGAGAAGTGAGTGGAATTGGCTGCTGAGGGCCCGGGGAGGTCGGCCAGATTCGTGGAGTCCGTGGGCATGGGGTCCCCGGGCCTGGCCACGCTTCTCGGTCAGCCCCGCCGCCTCCTTCCCCGGGACTAGGTTGGGGATTCGTAGCTGTGGGTCCTTCGGCCGTACTCTCCGCGCGGGTTCTGGAGTAAGGACCTTAGCAGGGGAGCTTCTGTGCCGCGGAGCTGTGGGTGGAAGTGAACCCCGGCTTCTCAACTGGACGTTTGCTGGGGCTGGGGCGCTGCCAGAAGAGGGGGGTTGCGCTGGTCCCCCTCCGTGTCTCTTCTGCCCCGGACCACTCGTTGGATGCAGTTCTAAGGAGCCCAGCAACTCTGTCCCTTGCAAAAGCCAAACTAATGATTCCCGCCCCCCCCCCCCCATCCTTTCTCCTCCGCCCTTGGCACATCATTCTCTAGGCTTTAACTACCACTAAAATACCAATGATTCCTTCGTCCTTGTCCCTGTTTCCCGGACGTCCCTTTGCAACCCTAGGCTGTATTTGTGAGTGTCTTCTGGATATGTCTAACAAATGTCCCATAAGCACCTCAAACTCAATTTAACCAAAGTCGACTTCCTTGTAACAGGACGCCCTCTTATCTCTCAGCCTCCATCTTTAAAAAAACAACGAAAAAAAATACAAAACCTGATTTCTGAATCCTTAATAGCCTCGTATTAATGGGACAACCTTATCCTCGTTGCCTTTAGATTCTTCTTCATCTGTAATATCCAATAAGTCACTAACTCCTATTAACTCTGTCTTGAAATTATGTCTGCAATCTGTTTTCTTGCTCTATCCCTGCTGTTAGGGTTTTAATTCGGGTCTCTGCTTCCTGCCCTGGATCTCTCAGCCTGTATGACTGCCTGCAGGCCCTCTGCTATCAGACTTACCTCTCGCCCTTGTTAAAACTCAGCTGTGTCTCCGGAGGCAGATCTGTGTGGTTAGTCCCAGAGCAGTGGTTCTCAACCTTGCTGCACATTAGAATCACCTGGGAATCTTTTTAAAATCATGATTTCCGGGCCTCATCCTCCGGAAATTCTGTTTCTTTGTTATGGGGTGGGGCCACCCACCCCATAACAAAGAAACAGAATTTCCGGAGGCTGAGGCCCAGAAATCAGGATTTTAAAAAGATTCCCAGGTGATTCTAATGTGCAGCCAAGGTTGAGAACCACTGGCTTAGAGTCTCACAAGGCTGAAATCAAAGTGTCAGCCAGGGCTGTGGTTTCACCTTAAGTTGTAGGGTCCTTATTTGTTGTTGGCAGAATCTGTTTCCTTGGGGTTTTAAAACTGAGGTCCCCATTTTCTTGCTAACCTTGTAGGTAGTAGAGTAAATGAGCTTAAGGGACAGGAGATGTGGGATAACTAGAATTGAGATTTATACAGATACTAGTGTCCTGGTGCATGGATTCGTGCACACTAAAAGGAAATTAATTAGAAGAAATATTTTAATGTTGCTATTCGCCCTTTCTCTATAATAAAAGTGTCAACCAAAGTCATGATCAACAATTACAGATTGAAATACACACATGCTATTGGTGCCAGCGAGAGCTTTATATATATATAGATAAACTTGCTTAATTAGACCTGCTTTCTGATTTAGCTAAACTTTTTCCATCCCAGTAAAACACCCCAACTTCTCTTTCAGGCAATTGTCAACAACACAGCAGTAAATATCAACACGAAGCAGATTATTATTGTAGACCACACAGGGAGAAAAAAGGGTAAAATATTTAACTATAGCAGTGTTTGATTATATTCTACACAGTGAGAAAACCTGAAGTCATTTTCAAGTTCCACCATTTCTTACTTCTTTTCAGCCGGATCAAGTTTCTAAACTTTAAATCTCCATTTTCCGGCTAATGAAGAGAAAATAGGATTCTACCAAGTCTCCTATCTACCTACTTCAGGACTTCTATGAGGATCAAATGAAATGAGGCATGGGAAAATGTTTCACAAACATTTGGTTGAACTGTAAATGTTTGCACCTGGCTATAAGTCAGGTTCCTGGGCTTTAGAAACTGCAAGGAGGCTAATTGCTAGGGAGAGGAAGCCAGGCGTTGCTACCTGGCATTATTACCCGGTGCCCACAGTGACTGTTTCTGGGCTGGGCTGGGCTGGGCTGTGGGCTGCATTTTGCACCATGGGGTCTTGGCAGCGTTGGCTGCGATTTGGTGGGGTGTCGCTCTGGGGTGGTGGCAGGGCCTGTGTCCCACTTGGGGGAAGCCGAGTGTTGGTTTGTCGGCACCAGGTCTGTGGTGCCGTTTATTTTTAAATGGCCAGTGTGCATCATGGCAGCTCCTGTGTTGAGCGTCTGCCCCCTGGTGGTCAGTGCATGTCATAGCTACTGGTCGGATGGACAGACACTTAGCCTTTTATATATATAGATTGGTAATGATGTAGTCTGGGCTATGACCATGTGAGTTGGTCACTGGTAAGATGGAGGAAAGTTTGTGTAAAGTGAGGTCAAGAACTGAGAGGCCAGGTGTCAGTGTGCATAACTTGGAGTTTGAGTTCAACAGAAATAGGAATAGGAGCCGTAGTAAAGAAGATTACAGTGAGCTAGCTGCTCAAATCTTCAATGAATGAAAAGGAGTAGTAGGGAGACTTGGTGTAGGGAGACTTGGAGAGTAATACAATCCCCTCCAAGGCCTGTTCTTCAGATGATCTGGGTTTTGAAAGAAGAGGGAAGAGAAAGGCATTAAAGACCTAGGAGGAAGCTTGCCCGAATATTCTTTTCTCCTCCCCTGGACTCTGCTACATGGTAGGTAGGAGCTAAAACAGCCACCCTTTGAGAAAGTTGCAGGAGAAGCAATGGCCTCAGAAAAGCCTAGTTTCCTAGAGGAAAGAAGTGCCAGGGAGAGAGAATTTGTTTTTTGATGTTTTGTTTTGTTTTGTTTTAATATGTTTTTATTGATCTTTGAGAGAAAGGAAGGGAGACAGAGAGAAAGATAAAAACATACATTAGAGAGAAACATCAACATCAATTGGCTGCCTCCTGCATCCCCCCTACTGGAGATTGAGCCCACAACCTGGACATACGCCCTGACCACGAATCAAACCAGAGGCCTCTTGGTGCATGGGCTGATGCTCAACCACTGAGCCACACTGGCCGGGCAAGAATTTGGGTTATTTTACAAAAAGTTTTATATTTGATTTCATCCTATATTCAAATATGACAGCTTTAGTTTTGTCCCAGGAGAACTGTACTATTTATATTTCATATTCCTTATGCTCAATCCATTCTAGTTCATTAGCATCTTTGTTTTCATTTCTCTTCTCCAATTCCCTTACTGATTTTCTCAAATCTGGATTTTCTAAAAATGGTCCTAACGAGCATCAGCACTATTTAAAGTGCATGCTCCTGGGCAATCTGATTTCTCACCACTGTAACTCCTTATTACCTCTTATTCTTATACCAGTTGACAAGTCAGAAAGCAGTTTGAGGATAGTGGGCATTAGAGGACTTGAGGCAAAGAAGGAGAGAAAGTGGCAGACATAATTTTCCTATTACAACTTTGCCACTGGATAGGCCTGCCTATATAGCTATCTGCCTCTCTAGCTTTGGGTGTTTGCTAGTTCTGAATCTCTTCTACCCAGCCTAACATTTTATTCTTTCTTCTCTCTCCATATTTACAATTTTAGAACACACTGCTATCATTTTATTTCTCTTCGGCTCCTTTCTTGTAAGTTCACATTGCATACAAACAATTGAATAGAAATATCTTTTCTTGTTACCAGGTTACCACCTTTAAGTCAAGCTCAGCTCACCTCTCCATCCCTGAGTCACTCACCCAGACTCTCCATGGCAGTTCTTTCCTCCTCTTGTCCATCAGCATTAGGTCCTCTCAAAGGTCTATCCCACAGCTTTTCTCATTTAAAACCCTCAGCCCTAAGAATACTACTGCTTTGATGACTTACTCAACAGCTAAGAGCAGATCATTTGCAGATTTTCCCCCAAATGCAAACTCCTGTTGCTTGATGTGCTTAGGACGCGTGAAAATACAGTCAACCTAGAGGACAAACTAAGCTTCCACTAGTGCAGAGAGAAATGATGAAGGGACATATGTTAAAAAAATTACCTCTACCCTTTACCATTTGTGTGTCTTTGGACAAATCACTTAACCTCTCTGACCTTCAGTTTCTTCATCGCTAAAATGATGTTAATAATACTTAACTTCTGTAGTTGTTTTAAGGATTAAATGAAGTAATAATGCATGTAAAGCCAACAACAATGCCTGGCACTTGGTAAATACTCAATAAATATTCTTCCCCACCCCCCCTTATCTCTGAGCTCCCATCTGTCTTTTCATATTATCTCCAAAGATTTGGTATTGTCTTCAACTTCTTGTTACTTATTTTAAGTATGTAGTTATTACTTCTATAGGAAGTATTAAATAATTATCACTTCACCTCAGGCTTCACTTACCATCAATATGCAGGTTCTGGTAACTTGTAGTACAGTTTATTTTAATGCTTTCTTTACCAGTCTTCCTGATGCAGCGAAGACAGGATTTCAGGAAAGTTTGTTTGCTTTTGAATCCATATTTTCTAAGCATTTTTCTTAATGAATACTGGTTTTTGCTTGAATTCTCCAAAGATCTATTTAATAAAGATAATTTATTTAGAGCCAGAAGTCCTGTATTGACTTGTCTAGTTCATTTTTCTTTCTCTATGGACTGCCTCTGTTGCGGCTAGGCTACTCTCTGTACACAATCTATCCTAAACCATGCTTCACCCATGCTGGACCTCTACTTCTCCTGGGCAGGATGGTTTACCTAAACCATTGCTCTTGTTTGTTCAAGCCTGGCTTAGAAACAGTTACTTAGCTAGGCCTATGAATGTGGTGTCCTCAAAACCATCTTCAAGCTGATCAAGGTGTTACCCTGGTTCACTACACTAAGTGTAGAGTTAATAGGTTTTCTTGGTTTGGAATCCAAACCTTCAAAATTTATACTTAACCACTCTATCTGCCTTCCTCAGTGTACTATTTGAAACTTCTGCAGACTCACCAAAGGGTTTTTGAACTGTATATATTATAGGTTTCTGCTGCACTGAAACAAGGCCAAATTACTCCAACTGAGCTCTGTCAAAAATGTCTTTCCCTGATCAAGAAGACCAAGTTTCTAAATGCTTACATTACTGTATCAGAAGAAGTGGCCTTAAAGCAAGCTGAAGAATCAGAGGAAAGATATAAGAAAGGTAAATTACTTTGAATTATACTCAGTTGTTATATCCTTAGAGAAAGAATTTCAATTGAATGTAGCAGTCTCCATTTGGCAAGTGAATTTTTTAACATAAAGTATTCCCTTATTTAAAGAACTTGCCATGCGGTATAATAAAAAATGAGGCGATTGGATATATGATGCTTTTTACTGTCCAACTGCAATAATTTCTAACATGAATTTTATTTCTGAAGAAGTATCTTTACCAAGAACTAATAATTATTAACTAGTATTAATGTGTCATTATATCTTGAATTAGATACTTCTAGTCTTTTGGCTTTTTAACACAGGTCACTCACTTGGGGATTTAGATGGAATTCCTGTTGCAGTAAAAGACAACTTTAGCACATCTGGCATTGAGACAACATGTGCTTCAAACATGTTGAAAGGTAAAGTTTAACTGATCACAGCATTTATTAAAAATAAGAATTTTTCAGTTTAAATTAAAGAAAAGATAGTAAAGCACCAATATAGTCTCAAACTAATTATATCTGCAAAGAAGATACTTAGGATGAACTATTACATTTTTTCTATTTGCTCTTTCAGAATGCAAAATTATTCTTTAGAGGTAGGCCTACTTAGTGGATGAATGTAATTTAGGAAGTTTTAGCAATCCTATTTAGGAAGACTCAGTAACTAATCACCACAAACACACTAAGCAACCACTAACTCCCACTCCTTGATAACATGGGAATAGTATGAAGTGGCTGTCATTACCCATCTCTGAAGGATGGTGTGAGGATTCGTTAGCCATTACTGTCCAGATTTTATATATATATATATTTTTTATTGACTTTACAGAGAGGAAGGGAGAGGGATAGAGAGTTAGAAACATTGATGAGAGAGAAACATCGATCAGCTGCCTCCTGCACACCCCCTACTGGGGATGTGCCCTCAACCAAGTTACATGCCCTTGACCAGAATCAAACCTGGGACCTTTCAGTCCACAGGCCGACGCTCTATCCACTGAGCCAAACCGGTTAGGGCAGTCCCATTATTTTTTATTTTTTGACTCCTGTACCTTTTATATCACTACTAGAGGCCCGGTGCACAAAATTCGTGCAGCCTGTACCCTCTTGCAATCCGGGACCCCTTGGGGGATGTCCGACTGCTGGCTTAGGCCCGATCCCACAGGGCAGTCGGACATCCCTCTCACAATCCGGGGACAGCTGGCTCCTAACCACTGGCCTGCCCTGCCTGATCGGACAGCTGGCTCCTAACCACTGGCCTGCCTGCCTGCCTGATCACCCCTAACCCCTCTGCCTGCCTGCCTGATCGCCTCTAACCTCTCTGCCTGCCTGCCTGCCTGCCTGATTGCCCCTAACCGCCTTTGCCTGCCTGTCTGATCACCCCTAACCATTCGCCTGTCTGCCTGATCACCCCTAACCACTCTGCCTGCCTGCCTGATTGCCCCTAACCACTCGCCTGCCTGTCTGATCACCCCTAACTGCCTACCTGCCTGCCTGATCGCCCTTAACCGCCTCTGCCTTGGCCCCCACTGCCTTGGCTTCATCCGGAAGGATGTCCAGAAGGTTGTTCAGCTGTCCAGTCTAATTAGCATATTATGCTTTTATTATTATAGATATTTATTTGAGTATTATGTTTAGTTTTATTCTTTACAGTTTAGTAAGTCAAAAAGGAATCACGTTTATCAGGATGCTTGGATCCTAGAAAGAACGTGAAATGGGAAAAGGTTATTCAGAGTACTGTATACTAAAAGTAATATTCTGAGGTATGTGCCTAGGTTCCTCTGATAGGTAGACTGTCGTTAATTGTTTTTGAATATACACTACATGGAGAGAATTTTAATTAATAATAAAAATCTATTTCTGACTGGAAATGGATAAAAATCACTGTGATATAGCATCATCTGAGAAGAAAAAGTCAAGTACAATAATCAAAAATATGATTTGTGATTAGTGTCAAGTGAATTAGGTACACCTTTGTCATTCAATATTTTGCAGGACTGTTAAAGTCAGTATTTTTATGTTATAAAAGTAGTGAATATAGACTGTCTTTGGAAAACATATAGCATTTAGCAATAGAAAAAATTAACTTTTGGAATAAAGTACAACCTACTAGTCAAATTAAGAATAATTAACACATGTCAATACAAATTGCTTAATTGCAGTTTAAAATCGTGTTTCTTTAATATGTTTTATACGTTCACTATTGTTGTTTTTTCCTGTAATAAAAATTACTGAATTTTTTTCAGGTTATGTACCACCTTATAATGCCACAGTAGTTCAGAAGCTGTTGGATCAGGGAGCTCTACTAATGGGAAAAACAAACTTAGATGAGTTTGCTATGGGGTAAGTAAAATTGAAATTCTCTTCTCTCATATTTCTTCCATCTGTCTTTAATTTCATTATGTAGCTGCCTAAAATTATTGAGGTGATTTTTTGAGGATTCTAATGCCAGTTTCTCATTCCCTCTGTGAGATTATGCTCTATGTCTAATACATATATAGTCATATTTCATTTTAGTTTTAGTTTGCATTTCCATGATGACTAATGTTAAATATTATGTGGTTTGCCACCCATATATCTTCTTTGTTGAAGAATCTATTCAAATCTTTTGCCTCCCACCTTTTTTTTTTTTAGTTGGGTTGTTTGTCTTATTGAGTTGTAAGAGTTCTTTCATACAGTCTGGATTCAAACCCATTATCATACAGGTGATTTGAAAATATTTTCTCCAATCTCTGGATTGTCTTTTCATTGTTTTGGCATTTAGTAAATACATATTGAATAGATTAATCCATGGGACTAAACTCAAACATAGGTTATTAGGCATTGCCTTGAATAGCTGATCAAAATGAATATCAATGAGGGTGAAGTGAATATCATGTACTTCCAGATGTGATTCCCTAAGAGGAACACACCATCATTTATGCAATTTTCCTATCCTAAAGTAATAATAAGGAAACAAAAGACAAATCTGAAATTAGAAACATTCTATTAAGTGTCAATATCTAAAAAACATAGGAAGGCTGTGAAAATGTTCTAGATTAAAAGAAGTTAAAGAACATAAAACCCAAAACTTAAAGAAGAAAATGTAGAAGAAAATCTTTATGACCTTGAGTTAGCCAGAAATTTTTTAGGACACATAAAGTACAATTTGTAAAATAAAAAATTGATGGTTTGAACTTCATTAAAATTAGTAACTTCTGTACTTTGAAATATACTGTTTAAAAATGAAAAACAACAACACTACAGACTGAAAGAAAATACTTGCATTACATATGTCTGAGAAAGAACATGCATCCAGTATATATATAGACCCTTTCCCAACTCACTAAGAAAACAACTCAGTTTTTCTTTTCATGGGTAAAAGATGTAAGCAGACATTTCATTAAAGAAGATATACAGTTGGCAAGTAAATACATAAGAAATGCATCACGTTAAGGAAATGCAAATAAAAAACACAATGAGATACTTATACCTATTAGAATGGCTTAAAAAAATGAGACTATCAAGTGCTGACAAGGATAAAGAACAATTGGATTTCTCATACATTGCTGGTAGGGAATTCAAAATGGTGTCACCATTTTAGAAAATAGTTTGGCAGTGTCTTATAAAGTTAAACACACTTACCATATGACCCAACAATCTCAGTCAAGAAGTGAAGAATTATGTTTACACAAAAGCACTGTCTATGGCCTTTCAGTACAATATTTATTGTGACTTTATTCAAATTGCCAAAAACTGGAAATAACTCAATGTTCATTGGATAATGAATGATTTAAAAAGTAAAAAAAAAAAAAAGAGGCTTAAGAGACAATGATAACTAACTGTAGTACCTGCCTCTAGATCTGCTTCTGTACTGGGAGGGTGTAAAATGCTATAAAGGACATTATTGGATCAGCTGACAAAATTGGATTATATACATTAAATTAGATAAAAGCATATTAATGTTAAATTTACTGATGTTTATAACTGTACTGTCCTATATAATAAAGAGCTAAAATGCTAATTAGACCAAACAGTAGAACGACCCTCCGGATGACCTTCCAGACGAAGCCAGGGCTGCGAGGGCCGAGCCCCTTACACGAATTTCGTGCATCGGGCCTCTAGTGACTATATGAGAGAATACCCTAATCTTAGGAAATACATATTGAGTACATACTAAAGTATTTAGGACTAAAGGGCCATAGCAATATAATTTACCCTTAAATGGTTCAGAAAAAAAAGTGTATGGACACACATACACAGAGCATACAAATGATAAAACAAATAAGGTCAGACGTTAACAGTAGGTGAATCTGGGTAAAGGCTATAAAGTGCTTTTCATGCTATTTTTATTTTTATAACTTTTCTGTATGATTGAAATTATTTCAAAATTTTAAAAAAATAAGTTACTAGTATTCTACTTATAATGCTTTTCTTAAAACTTCTGATTAAAATAGGGTTTCCTTTAAAAGACTTTGTGTTAACCGTTTGAATGTTTGTGACACTACAACCAGAAGACCTTAATTTACAAGGGAAATCATCTTAAACTGAATTAGATGATCAACTGGGATATAAATCTTCATTTCTTAGTAGACTAGTTTTCTCTACTTTCTATCACAAATGCTCTTACTATCTATTCTCCACTCCTCAACTATCTATGTGAATAAAACTACATCTAAGCAGGCTTCCTATCTTTTCCAATTCAGTTTACAGTGGATTATACAGTGTCGGAAGTAAATAATAATCAGAAGAGGAAATTTTCACACGAAATGAAAGTTTTATTAGATATCTTGCTTCACTTCTTCATCTCAGATCTGGTAGCACAGATGGTGTATTCGGACCAGTTAAAAACCCCTGGAGTTATTCAAAACAGTACAGAGAAAAGAGGAAGCAGAAACCCCATGGTGAGAACGAGGAGACAAATTGGCTTATAACTGGAGGAAGCTCCGGAGGGAGTGCAGCCGCCGTATCAGCGTTCACATGCTTTGCGTAAGATGTTTTTTCTATCTGTACTTTAAAACCTAACCTGGTACAAATAGTCATAAACTATAGGCAAAATCCAACAATAGTCAAGTTCATACTTCGGTATTTCATATATATAAAATACATATATATATGAATTTTATAAAATACATATATATATATATATGTATACACACACGCACACACACACACACACACACACACATTATTGATTTCAGAGAGGAAGGGAGAGGAAGAAAAATAGAAACATCAATGTTGAGAATCATTGATCGGCTGTCTCCTGCACCCCCTACTGGGGATCTAGCCCTCAGCCCGGGCATGTGTCCTGCCCAGGAATCAAACTGTGACCTCCTGGTTCATAGGTTGACCATCAACCATTGAACCATACCAATTGGGCAATACCTCAGTATTTTTATTCCTTTTTAGTGAGCTATTTGTGTCCAGAGATATATCAAAATTATATCTTATTAATACATTTAACTATACATGTATTTTATACATTTAACTTTAAGATAACATTTAGCCTTGGCCAGCATTGGTCAGTGGTTAGAGCATCAGCATGTGCACCGGAGTATCTCAGATTCAATTCCCGGTCAAGGGCATATACCTGGGTTTCAGGTTTGATCCCCACCACCAGTTGAGACGCATGTAGGAAGCAATTGATGTGTCTCTGCCACATCGATGTTTCTCTCTCTCCTCTCTCTCACCCTCTTCCCTCTTCCTTCCACTCTCTTTAAAATCAATGGGAAAAATATCCTTACCCCTCAGATGAGGATTAAAAAAAATAATAATAATATAACATTTAAAGTCTTCCTATATAGTATCTGGTTCTCTTAAAAACATGACTTTATGGATCTTGCAGAATAAACCAGTTAGCATAAATGGACTTCATTGAATTTCATTTTTTAAATAATTTATTTGGGTATCTAGTTACTGATTGTACAGATATTTAAGTACTAACATACCATGGCTTTAGCTGAGTGCTGCTGAGCTAAATTGTTAGCAATGTTTTATCCTTCACCTAATTCTGACTTTTGTCGCCCCAAAAAGGAAAGAAAAAAATGCTCCTAATATATATATCAATAGAATATTTAAAAGTGTTTTTATCAATCAGCAACTAAAAATATCTATCAGTAAGTAAAGGTTTTTCAAGTTTGTAGGGAGCTGATTTGTTCAACTGTCACACTTTGTATTTGGAATGCGTCAATCATGCTTTATCTCTTAAGTCCCATTTGTAAAGCATTTCCTAACCATCTAAGGAAGAGTAAATAAATATTGCTGTTATTATAGTTCTCTTTCCTTAATTATCCACTGTAACTAAGCTCTTTCAGGGACATTGCAAGCAATAAATTATTTATATTTTTAGAGCTATGAGGATTTATTAGACTCTACAGATTTTTTTTTTTTTTTTTTTTTAGTTTCCCTGGAATCTTGTTAACAAGTAAAACCATTTCATTTTATCTCTGTGAAATTTTATAGCACTGCATTAATATTAATGAGAGTTCTGATAAGTTAGGCCTGCCAGATTAGGTGCTCTTTCCTATCCTCATCACCCCATTCAGTGTTCATCTTTCTGAATGAGCTTTGAGAAGATGGCATTTTGACACATATTTCCTATGGAAATGCAAGTTTTACTTTACATAGCTGTCAGTGAATCCTAATAAGAAAATGTATCGTTTTAGAAATTGTGAAAGCAACAGTCTGATTTTGTGACTCAAACGGACTTGCTAAGAAAGGCAATCTAATTTGCATTTTCTGTAGAACACAGGGGCCATGTGACTGGTAGGAGCCTTGTTTAATCCAAAGCTTCACTCTGCGTGTAGTCAAGAGAAGCACAGACCCAAACTAACTCCAGATTGAATGGGTCCCAAAATGTCAAGTGTTCTGCTTTATCTGCCCCCACCTTTTGATTCGTTCTTTCTATAATAGTTTTAAAAATGAGAAGATTCTTGGAATACTATGCACCATGAAAAAGAATGAGATGAGCTAGAGCACTGGTGACATGGAAAGACAAGTATAGCATGTATTAGAGGCCCAGTGCACAAAAATTTGTGCACTCGGGGGGGAAGGGGGGGGTCCCTCAGCCCGGCCTGTGCCCTCTCGCAGTCTGGGACCCCTCGGGAGATAACGACCTGCTCGCTTAGGCCTGCTCCTGGGTGGCAGAGGGCAGGCCCAATCCCTAGGTGCAGCCCCTGGT